TGAAACAGAGCAGCTGCAAACCCTTCCCCCTGAGTGGTGCATGCCCTGTATAAAAGCTAGACTGGCTGTGTGGTTATGGTGCACTTTTGCCTTCACTTAAAGCACTGTACATTAGCTGCTGCGGGAAGTTCAGAGACAGGAATAGACAAGCCTTTGATCTGATTAATCCCAGCATGTGGTCTTCATTTTCCCTTCATGCGAGTATCTCCTGTAGCTCTGACTCTGAGCTGAGCAGCCCTCTTGCACTGGGGCTTGCTGGAAGCAAGGTGTGTAGCTCCATGCCTCCCCAGAGTTATTTCCTGGAGGGACAGAAATTATGATAGGTTGGGATCAGTGGAGGCCTCATGCAAGACAGAAAGGGTGATGGCTCAAGCCTCATGTCTGTGCAAAGATGTTTTCTCTGCATTCATTCCATAGGTGAACTTGACTTCTGGGCCTGCAATTAACTTTTCTTTCTTCCTTTGTCTTAACAGTATGGCGATGTGCTCAATTTGTTGATCTCAAGTAGGAAGACTGGGAGTGCAGTGGTGGAATTTGCTACAGTTAAGGCTGCTGTAAGTCTGGCGGAGACCCCAGATGTGTGTGGTGGAGAGTGGGCAAGAAGGGGTGCTGCAGAAGGGAAGGGTGCCCAGAGACACTGCCTTGTCATTAAGGCAGTGGAGAAGGGTAATGAGAGTCTAAAGGTACAGATGCATGAAGGGAGTGGCAAAGCTGGAGGCATAAACCCAGAGCAGATCACACACATAAACAAGCCGGCTGTGCTTGCAAATGGCTGAGGGAAGAGACACTGCTTTAAAAAGCAGGCACTGAGCCATTTAATCAGCTCTCACTGAAGGTGAATTACCCATTGTGGAGATGGGCTTAATGAGTTTTAGAGGTTACATGAGGCATTTGCAGTTTAAAGGAACTCAAAATGTCTTGACTCACTGTGAGTTATAATAATTCATGTGACTGTGGAAACAGAAATCATCAGTTACCTTTAATTTCAGTAGTTCCATCAACTTAAACTTATACTGTACAAGAGTGTCTATTCCTTGTCACCTGTTCTTTCACTCATATATCCAAATAATCAAAAAAACCCCAGAGTTGTCTGTGACCTGTTTATCAAAAGTACCGGCACTGATATCGTCTGTCTATGCGTGATGCAGGTATGGACCTTAAAGGGTGCTTCTCATGTAGGGCAGCTGTGAAATCCTCGTCGTTTGTGCCCTGCTTGGCCTTGATGCCAGGCTGAGATGGAAAAACTTTTATGATGGTCAGTGAGGGAGTGAGGTCTGAAATTCAGATGGTGATGGAAGAATATTTTCATTGGTAGGAGATGGCTGTGAAGAATGAAGTTGGCCTGATAAATAATCCTCTAAAGATTTCCTGGCTGGAGGGCCAGCCCCGGAACAACCCCAGCACCGTCCTTTCTGACAGCACTAGTCAGCCTAGGACTTCGCAGGTAAGGAGACATAGACTGCTGTTATTTAAATCTGTTTCTATAGCAACCTAAATTTAACAGTGTGCTTTGCATTTATCGTAAGCTACGTTGATTCCCAGCAGAGCTGAAAAGAAGCTCTTAGTGAAAGGCCTGCCTTTCTGATGAGCCCTTTTGTGCTGAAGCAGTGGCTTTTTTTAAGGACCCTTTGCTTCAGTAGCAGCACAGTGAGAACACAGCTGTTTGGATGACTGCATCTTTGCACAATCTCACTCTGTCTTCCAAGTGAAAAATAAGGATGTTCCTCGCTCAGCCCAAAGCTTCTAATGCCATTCTTCTGGAATTTTTTCTAATATACTTTGACTGTGGGAATCCTCTGCCTGATAGCTGGTTGAAATGGGTCTCCTAGAAGGCTTTTAGAGAGGCTTGGTTACTCACTGCATGCACAAGAGGATGAAATTTCAGTGCTGAAAGGAAACCTATATTCTTAGGGTCTGCGGGAGGGAACAGAAAGCAATATCAAATTAAATATCCTCATAGAGACCTTATTGTCTGGTTTGGGTCCTCTTTACCGGTGTGGTTGCTTTGAGCGCAAGGTGTTTAACTCTTAGCTGCTTCCTGTTTATTTCACCAGATAATCCCTCTGAAGCTGTTGCGCTTGAACAGCAAATGTATTCCAATCACAAAACACATGGAAGGCAATAACATCTAGTGGTTAAAACACAGAAACCAACCTGAGGACGTGCTGCAGCACACTGTTGGCTCTCCGTTACCCCTTGCTCCTGTTGGCCCTCCGGACTGGGAGACGGAGCCGCTTCTTTTGAAGCGTGTTACATTACACTTCGCTCTATAGCACAGAATTTCTCATGCTCTGCATGGCTTCTGATCTAGTTAGTAATTCCTGGCTGTGAAGGGACCTGAGCTCCTTTGCTGGTTATTTGAGTTCCAGTTCAAACTTCATGTGACACTTATTCCCCTCTCTTCTTCTTCCCTGTGGTATAAAGATCAAAAAGATCTAATGGCTGAGAGGACCCCTGCCTCATGCTCTACAGGTGCCCTTAGTCTGTCTTGATCAGCCCTGTGTGTGTTCACTACCTAAGTATTTTAGCAGCTTGTGAGATTGTTCAGTACGTTCACTCTCCTGACTTCTTAAGTACGTTATTTACAGCAGATGCATTTATACATCAGACTGCCTTGTTGTTATCCTCGTAACATAGCCCAGGAGCCAGGCAGATCGGCACAGTGTAGAACCAGCGAGGTTCCTGCAGACACAGCAGATTCACAGAGGTGGCCAGAGCGTTAGAAGGCAAAGTGGGGAAAAAAGCAGGATCCAGTCCAGTTTGTCTCTCTCTCACTAGTAGAGAATGAGAGCTGGCTCTGAAGAGCTCATTCACACCTAAGGGGTTGCTGGTGCAATTGGAGCTTGGTAGTGGATTCTTGCCTCTCTGGGTTCAAAAGCCCTGGCCTTTGAGTTGATCTTGGCTTGTTTCCACGACCAGAGCTCGTTAGTGTGGAACTGCAGCGTCTGCCTGCTGCGAAGGATTAGCTTGGTGGAGCAGCAAGGGAGAGCAGGCTAGAGCAGCAAATGGTGTTCGTGCTGCGTGGAGGTGGTGACTCACTTCTGTCCAACACAGCCTCGGCAATCCCATATCAGCTCTCAAAATGGTGAGGAGTTACGGCCAGTGACTTGCATCCTTTCCCAAGAATTGCACTGCTGATGCTTGTCTGTCCTTTCTACTGCTTTTATATGTAAGCAGCTGCAGTTTCTTTGATTACATTGCAGTCTTGCTGTCCAGGCTAAGATCTCCAAGCTGCTCTGGTTCCCACTTTTCCTAGTTCCTACTCCAGACCCTCCCCAAATCCTGCTGCTGCTTCCACTGGGATGCTTCCAAAATCTGTAATGTGGTAATAGCTTCTCTTGGCTGTACTGCTTCTGGTTGACTTATTCTTTGTCCTCAGCTCTTCAACTCTAGACTACGCAAAATGAGCTCTTTCAGATATCTTGTGCCACTGCCTCAGCCTACTCCCTGCCACATCCTTTCATACCCAGTCTGGCTTCCCCACCATCGGGGTCCGCATTCTTGCTTGCAACCTGCACTAATCTCATTCTGATTTAAGCTGCCCTCGCTTCCTATCTGCTGCTCCCTCTGGGTTGCTCCTATTTTTGTCTGAATCCACCCCCAGGTTTGCTCCCACTCCGTGCAAACGCAGCTCCTTCCCCGCTCTGCTTCAGAAACCAGCCGAAGACCTGCGGCGTTCTCATGGCAACACACTCACTACTCATCCGCTTCAGAGCTGTGTCTGCTCCCTGCCTGGGGCAGCCAGCCAGGAGCTGTGCACCCGAGCCTTCAAGTAAAGGACAGCCGCACACTAACTAGACGGGGGGGCTTTGGAAGCAGTTCCCAGGTGGCAGCGAGGCTGATTGTTGAAAAGCGGTGCTGTGAGGAGGCAGTCAGTTGCAAGATACTTGCCCCCACGGTCTTGGTTGGCTTGTTTTCTTCTACAGCAGCGGGTGCACGTTGTCCAGCAGTTCCTGGAGAGCTGCTGGAGCCCAACAGGCGAGTTAGGCTTGAATGACAAAAGCTGTGGATTGGCCAGTGTTACCCTAGGCCATTTGAGAGCAATGACTGTTTGATTGCTGCAGCTCTGAATGGTTCAAAGCCCACAAGAGCTGTACAGTGCTGTGAAGAGCATATTTTGCCACTACAACAGCATGAAGCACTCGCTTCTGGGAAGGTCTTCCTTGTGCCTTTAGCAGTGGGATCTCCCTGCCAGAGCTCCTCATTCATTTGGGGCCATTCATCCAGCCATATTACAGTGCTGAGAAAAGCCTTCTGTCTGGCACTCTCGCATCTTTTCTAAGCTCCTTTGATGTTTCATAGAGTTTGGTTTATATTATCTGACTTTACAGCCTGCTGTGAATCTGGTGGGTTGAGAGCCGTCTGTGCCTTCTCTGAAATGTCTCTGTGCACTTTGCTGTAGCCGGCTTCCAAAGCTTATGGTTATCTGGGTGCAGGAAGGGGTTATTTTATTTTTTAAAAAGAGCCCTAGTATCTAATCTAGCTATGAAAAAGGTAAGAATTGGTGACCCGGTAGTTTTTGCAGTGTCCTTTTAAGTTTGCTCTGATACTGCCTAAATGTTCTCAGCCCGGCAGAGCCCTTCGCACTGCCCAGCTCACGGGGTAAGGAACCGGTCATTTCAGCGCTGACCTGAACTGTGTGCGCTCTCCTCAGGGGAAGGTAAAGTACCAGCAGCTCTCGCCTTCTGCCAGCCCAGAGAAGCAGAGCCACACGGCTTCCCCACCCTCATAAGGACCTGAAGTGCCAGAGAGGATAGATCTCGGTCACTACAGATAAGGGGCCTGTGCTCTTGGTGCCTGGGCTTTTTCTGGCTTGCTACCAATGAAATGAGGCAACAAGACGCTTCCAGTCACAGATACATTTATTCTTCCATATCTGTACAGCTGATAGATCAGTGCATGCTTCAAGCAGCAGTATCTAGAGAAATTTCTTCTCCTGCTAGTAGGATAAATAAACTGCTGTTGCTGTGTTACGAGCCTACATGGATGCTTACCTGTTTCCAGGCTGGGAGTGCCAACTGCACTTGAGTTAGGGGAAAAGAAGCCCACAAGGAAAAAAAAAAAAAAAAAAAAGAGGAACGGCTTTGATTTTTCACATCCAAACGCGGTGGGAGAAGAAACACCGGTTTCTGTCTCTTGACCCTTGCCATAGCTATGGCTTTGAGATGCAATGCTGCTGTCTCCTTGCAAGCTGCCTGCTTATCCACAAATGATGTATGCCGTATCCCTTTCTGTCCGTGTTCCGCAGCGTCACAGCCACATCCCCAAAATAACAAGTCTTTTGCCAAGCAATGCCATTCTTCCATGAGGAGGAGATGCACAGTCAAGAGTGGGAAATTCCCAGTGTGGAGAATGGAAACTTGCCCACGAGGTTCCAACAGACAGTGCTGTCATCTGAGCGCGGAGCCTGCGAGCTCTGCTCCGAAGGACTCCTTGGCAAGGACAAGGACAGTCTGTGGTGGGTAAGGCGAGAACAACACAACAGGCCACGCACAACAGGAATGCTGCAGTATCCTTCCTCCCGCTAGGACTAGAGAAACTGGCAGCAGCAGTAAGTAAATGTGATAAGTTAAATGATAAATACCTTCAAATGGCGTAATCTCTTGGGTTCTGTTTCCTGAGGGTCTGCAGAACATCCTCGAGAAGCGATAGCCCCAAATCCACTTTGAAGGACAGGAAGGGATCAGACAGGTCAGAAAGAGCGGTGCCGTTCTGGGAACCTGTCTCTGAGGTCCCGCAGTCTGTAGCCTGGTCCTTGTGGAACTGAGTTTGAGTGGCTTTGTGGTATTGATGAGTAGCACCAGAAAAGGAGATGTCAGAGTGAGAATCCGTGTGATCGATGATGTTAGGGCAGCTAGAACTGTCCAGGTACAGCCGGGGAGGCTTGGGAGGTGCTTGTGCCTTGGCTAGGTTTTGCTCACTCTGACATGACAGGTAATCAGACTTGTCCTTCAGATCCCTCAAGCATTCCCTCTTCTGGCACTGTCCATCGCTGTCCAGAGTGTGGCTGTTCTGATTCAAGATGATGACTTGGTTGCCCAGCTTTTTGTGTCTCCTGAGTGAGAAACGTCTGAAGAACGTCGTGGACTTAATGGACCCTCTCCGCCAAGTATCCATGCTGATGAAAGGCAACGAGAAGAAGGAAACTGCTGACTCTTCGCAGTCAGATGTTGGACTTAAGTTGCAGGATCAGCAGCAAGCCGCACAACAGGAACAACCTCTTCCTTCCCCGTTCTCGTAGCTGGAAGGAAAACAGAGAGGCTGGTACTGCAGGAAATGCAAACTTCACACTACGTCCCCGTGTAAAGGAGCGGTTGGCCTGTCTTAGATATTAAGGAGTCTCCTCCTTCAGTGGAGAAGGAATGGCGATGTCTGAGCTTATTAAATCTGTGCTGCAGAAACAAGCTGATGAAGAATAGCGAAGGCACACAGTCACCATGAGAACAGATTTAATCCAGCATCTAGAACAGAAGGGCACCCTGGTGCCATGGTAACCAGCCACCTTCCTGGCGAAGGGCACAGTACAAAAATCTCCGTGGGTGGTTAGGAAGGGAGACGGTGACTCAGTCACACTGAAGGAAACCGAAGCAATACGGTCAAATGGAAATCTAAAAAGCAACAAAACGCAGATGTAAAAGACAAACGTTAGGAAAATTGAATGCAAAATAGACTTACGCTGTGTCGGAGCAGCACCTGAGTCCAACAGGCGGAGAGGAGAAACTGCTGGAGCGCTCGGAGAACTGTGACTACCACGTTCACCGGTGTGCTGGGACGTTGGAAGAAGCAAGTCCAGGAACGATTCAACCCGGTTGGAGCCAGAACGCTAAAAATCCACAATGCCTCCTTCTCTTCATGTGCCTCCTGTCACTGCTTCCCAGGCTGCAGTTCCTTGTGCGGATGTATTTGTTTTGAGCCAAGCCCTTGCTGAGTCAGGCACGTCAGAAACTGGGTTTTACACTATTGGTAATTGCCAGGATTGCAGGAAGTAGGTGTGTAGGGTGGCAAAGCATCGGCCCACGCTCTGCCTGCGGAGCAAGCAAGCTCCCTTAGAGGCACCCGGATCGCTTGAGAACTGTCGACGGGTAGCCCATCCTGAATCAGACTGTTTCTTCTCTTGGTGCTCTCGCTTCTGCCACTTCTGATGGCTCGTTGTATCAGCAGGGCTCCCAAATGAGGCTGGAAAAAATCTCTTGTCTGTTTTAAATTTAAATCCAGAGTGCGAGGTAGCGATTCAGGTTTGTACGGATGATTCATCTGCATGAGTCTCAGGGAGGCTATTTCATTCAGCCAAGCAAGCGACAGTAAGTGTCTGTGGTTAGTGGACAGGAACTTTGAAGCAGCCTAGTTCTGCCGCTGAAGGCTGATACAATCTGTGCTTTCTCAGACACTGAAGATCTGCGCTGCGCAGTACTGAAAGGTTATTTCATTCGTGCAGCTCCTAAGATACCAATTATGGCATATTAGTCTCTGAATTTCCCGGTCTAAGTTTCTCATCTGCCGTGGGCTTCTGTTTTGTTCTCGCAGCTAGACGCTGCGGCTGGAGGAACCACTGCACTGGCACATGAGAACACATTTGCACTCGCCCTGTTTTCATGCAGAATTTTATTTCGCTGTTCTGTTGCCTTTTCATCCCTTCTATTCTTTATTTCAGATGTCCTTACATCACCACTAAATTTAGTTCCTAGAAAAATGAACGTGAGATTTTTTTTTTCATTCACCTTCTGTCAAGATGCTTTTATTTCTACCTGAACTGTCAAGCAAATGAGATGGATGTTTCCAAGCATTGCAGTGCTTTGAATAAATCCAAAATAGTAAGGCCACCTACTAATGTTAAACGCTTTTTGAAAGCAGGGTGCCAAAACCACCGCTTTGCTCCGCGATAGCAGCTGTCATCTGCTGCCTACGTTTTTAGGTGGAGTCTGCAGTCCCCCCTTGGGGGATGTGACAGTTGCTACCACACACAGCAGAAAGGCTCCGGGAGCTTTTGGGAACTGAAACACTCTTGTGGCGGTTTTGGGAACATACCTGGTGGTTTTCTTTCTGCAGCTGCTTCCATGACTAAACCACAGAAAGGTTTGATTTTTATTTTTTTTTAACGGCATTAGCCTTTATAAAGGAGGAAGCGTGCGCTGGACTCTGCAGAGTAAGCTGGTCATCCAACATAACCAGCCCCAGCGAGGCAAGCCGTGCCTCCCCATCCAGCCTTGTTGGGAGCAGGGATTAGCTCTGGCAGCAAGAGGGTAAGTCAGGCTCCTGTCTGTCCCTCTCGTCACGCCGGTAACGCTGTTATCAAGCAGGCTATTGTCTGTAGGCCAGGCAGCTTTCGCACCTTACCTGACTTCTCTGGGGCCACGCTGCTGTGAACCACCTTCCTGATGGGAACGTGCGTGTTGTGAGTGCGATTTATGGAGAGGGGGCTGGGGTACGTGCTGTCCCTGACAGGCTGCGTTTGTTTTCTGCTCCTAGGCATCAGTGGTATCGGAACGGGATTACGAGAGCCTGGTGATGATGCGGATGCGCCAGGCAGCAGAGAGGCAGCAGCTTATTGAACAGCTCAAGCGGGAAGATGAGGAAGAGTCTCACACCTAGCGTGAGAGAGTATGGATTCTCCCCACCCTATCATTCTTCATTTCCAAAGCTGTTTCTTAAATTAAGTCAATAAACCTCCTTTTTTTTTTTTTAAAACTGTTGTAGGAATACAGACTCTCAGTGACTGCAGCCCTTATCCCTTTCTGGAGTGGGGGGAAAAATGGCAGCATAAGCTTGAGAGTAAGCGTCGTAACCTGTCGGTCTGTGTGCTCAGAGCAGCTGCCCGGTCACAGCGGATGGGGTGAGAGGTGCTGTCAGAGCACCAAACCTTGGAGCTGCTTTGCATTCCTGAAAGCTTGTTCAGGAGCTATGGATCCAGAAGGCTTTGGCCACAACTGTCTAAAACAACCCACAGAAAGACACTGGTCTCTTTAGAGAAGTGTTTTATTGGTGTTACCCCTACAGCAGGATTGATACATGGTCCCAGACAATCCAGTGTTGCAACTGGTGCTGTTACGATTACAGAGCCCGCACCCTGCTGCTCTACGGCTATTTGAGGAACAGTGTCTTAGCTTGAATGGCGCGCTCGGGGCTGCAAGTCTGACGCTGTGCTAACCACAACCCCCTTTGGGAGAGGAACCGGCCTTGCGGCCGAGAGAAGGGACTCTTAAAGAGCAGGGTGTAGGATCA